CAAACAAAATAAATAAAATAAATAAAAAAATAAAACAAATGAAGAAATATATATATATATATATATATATATATATATATATATATATATTTATTTATTTATTTATTTGTTTATTTATTTGTTTGTTTGTTTAGGGTATCTTTGGGTGTATATCGTTATATATTAATTTGTCTCCTTAAACAAAAACAAAATAAATAAAATAAAATAAATAAAATAAATAAAATAAATAAAATAAACAACTAAATAAATAAATAAAACAAATAAATTAATATTTATTTATTTATTTATTTATTTATTTATTTGTTTGTTTGTTTATTTGTTTGTTTAGGGTATCTCTGGGTGTATATCGTTATATATTAATTTGTCTGCTGCAGCTGCTAGCAGTATTAGCAGCAGCTTCTCATTTAAAGTGTGCATTAGGTGACCCTGGGGCTGTTCCTGTTGCATGCAGCAAGCAGCAACAGCAGCAGCAGCAGCAGCAGCAGCAGCAGCAGCAGCAGCAGCAGGAGAGAAAAGAAAGGAGACAGCAGCAAAAAAATAAATTAAAAAGGAGACATATTCGTCTCCTTTTCTCTTTTCTTTGTCTCCCCCTCAAGGCCCTCAAAAGATTCCTCGGTAAGCACACACTGCAGCAGCAGCAGCAGCAGCAGCAGCAGCAGCAGCAGCAGCAGCAGCAGCTGCAGCAGCAGCAGCTGCAGCAGCAGCAGCAGCAGTAGCAGCAGCAGCAGCAGCGATAGCAGCATAACTGTAGCAGCAGCAGCAGCAGCAGCAGCAGCAGAGGTAGCAGCAGAACTGTAGCAGCAGCAGCAGCAGCAGCAGCAGCGGTAGCAGCAGAACTGTAGCAGCAGCAGCAGCAGCAGCAGCAGCAGCAGTAGCAGCAGAAACTGCAGCAGGAGAACCATCACCATAAACAGCATCATTATAATAAACAAATAAAAGTAAAAATAATAAATAAAAATATATATCTCTTATTTTCATTTGTATATTAATTTATTCAATTTATTTATTTATTTATTTATGTTTATTTATATTTATTTATGTTTATTTATATTTATTTATTTTTATTGTGTATAAAACAGAAACAAAGAGAGAGCCTAAATACACAAATAAATAGATAAATAAATACATAAATAAATAGATAAACAAACAAACAACTAAATAAATAAATAAACAAACATATTTATATTTATTTATTTATTTATATTATTTATTTATATTTATTTGTTTATTTATTTGTGTATAAAACAGAAACAAAGAGAGAATCTGTGTCTTCCTTATAAATAAATACACAAATAAATACATCAATAGATAGATAAAAAAATAAATAAAAAAATAAACAACTAAATAAACAAATAAACACATTTATATTTATTTATTTATTTATATTTATTTAT